TTTTGTTAGGTTACTTATGGTTATGGTTAGGGCAGGGTAGGGGTTAAGGTTGTCATAGTTAGCGTTAGCATTTTTCCCATTGAAATGAATGAGCGGTCCCCATAAGGATATGTTTACCCTACGTGAATGTGTGTGTGTGCGTGTGTGTGTGTGTGTGTAGGCAGCCTTGCTGTCTGGCCAGCCCTGCTGATTAACACAATTCCATATATTTTATTAAAATGACATAAAGACATGTTTAATTGAGTTTAATGTGCTCAGGCAGAGTCAGGACTCTGACCCCGGCTGTTTTCAAACACCATGTGCGGAAATCACTGGCCAAGCTGAAAAGCAGCGTGGGGGCGGACTGGGGGATAGTTGGTTAGATGTCTCTTTGTTAAGTCACTCAGTGACAGAATCGCCTTGTTTAGTCTGACGCGATGCGTGATGTAAAAGCCACACCGCCTGCAGTTCAGATTAGGTCATTCATCTGAAGATAAGCAGGTTTGGGCCTGGCCTGTGCTTGGGTCATGTATATATTATATCCCGGTGGCTAAATGCCACTGCAATGTGATAAAAACCTTTTTTTTTTACCTTGTGAGGATGTTTTTATGGGGAAACTGAATAAAAAAATCAATGCAATCTAAAAACTAAAAATGCCAAAAGTCTTGTATTTTGTATGCCTAAGGTTGGGGCTGGGTAGGGGTTAAGGTTGTCATAGATTTAGGGTTATGCCCATAGATATTAATGGAAATGTGTGTGTGTGTGTGTGTGTGTGTGTGTGTGAGTGTTTGACTGCAGGCATCCATATAATAACAAACAAGAACAGCAGAGTCCCGAATAAACCTTACACTGTCCCTCACTCACCCCTGTCACTCTGTTGCCCGGTAACACCCTACACCAAAATGGCTGACCACAGCATGCTAGGCATGGGTGTATTTACACACATTTGATCCAAAACATTCCTTGCCTGTTGCCATGCAGGACATTTTGCCCACCTGTTTAGCCATTGGGCTCCACATCCTTGGTGAATTATAGTGGGATTGTAGTAGGATCATGCTAAATGCTATGTTATCCTATTAAAGATCTTGTTTAGATGTTGACTGTCTGTGGCTACATTCCTAATGATCATCTTGCACGTAGTTATTTTTAGAGCTGATATTAGCAGGTGACTGCATGTTTACATGGAATATAACAGAGCTATGACCCATGAGTGTGATGTACATAAAACCACACCCCACAATCTCTGCCTCCATCACCTCTCTGACCAGCCAGAATAAATGGCCACACATGCTCTGGGTAAAAAGAAGTTTCAGATGATGGTGAGTCTGTAAATCACATGTGACCATAGCACACAAACAGGCCACACACCTTATGTATAGCTTTGAGGGGAATACCGTTCACACTTTTGTAACCATTGTTCGTGATCTATAACTGTAACACACCAAATTCAGAAACAGATGAACACTAACAAAAAACAGAACACTTTCTTGCAAGTGGTGTCTTTTACCATTTTCATTCATGCCGTGTACATGACCAACAGCTCAGCTGAAGTACTGCCTTTGTATATAATAAAACGCTGCATGTTTTCCTGTGTCTTACACATGATGGCTGTGTGTATTCTTTAGGCTATGTACATGGGACACTTACTGTACATTGGTGATAGGAAATCTGCTAGGATCGAGCAAAGCGTACTTCAAAAACTCCTGCCCTTACATACTGTAGCTGATTTGACACATAGCCAAAGGAAGTGTCACACACGCTGACTTGTTTATCTCAAAGCAGAATTCCACATAAAAATCATATTTAGCTAGTTTCATTCTCCATGAGATGTGTTTTTGAAAGGAACTGATGATTGACACTTCTGGGTTTTCCCACAAAAAAAAAAATCCCACAAAAATCTCTATAACAAAAGCATATGGAGAGTGATGTTTATGCAGTCTAAAACAAAGTAATTTAGACGAATTTCCGCTTCCCTTATGCCAGCTGATATATTCAGATCACCAAAAAAAGCATTCCTGTGTTGTGACACTGATGTTGAAATAGTGTCCCTGCTGCAGTTTTCTTTCTTACAGTTTCCCCTAAGTTATCGGCTGCTAGGAAAACAGAAAAGGTCATACTGATGTTGGAAAATGCACCTGGCAGTTGGGAATTTCATGAGTCTGGAAAGTACGGCCAGGAGAAGAAACGGAAAGGCTAGTGAGACTGAAACTGTGTGAGACCTGTCACTGCAAACGCAAAGAGCTGCAAATGAACTAAGTGAAACGTGGACTGGAGGGCAGCAGCCACAGTGACGTCACTGTCTTCTCAGTTAATGAGCGCTGTCAGACAAGGTAAAGGAGGGCATTTATTCACTCATCATATGGGGCTCTGTCATGTACAAAAAGCAGGGATTTCTAGTGCGGGGAGGTTTCTAGGCAAGGATACGTGAAAGAGGTAAACATTATTTTGAAACTGGTGTCTCTCACCAGTGTGTAGCCTCCTTGCAAGTGATTGTGATGTGAACTGAATGCTAACGAAACACACTGAAGCTTCAGTGATACCCATCAGAGGAAGCCGGTGTCTGAGTGCTGCCTCAGTCACACTGCAGGAACCAGGAACCACAGTAAAATCTCTGTGAGATATTATGTAGGCTCATAATAAAATACACTATATGGCGAAATGTATGTGACCACCCCTATTAATTAGACAAATTGGCTAATTAAGATGTGCCCGACGTTGACACTGGTGTAAAACTAAGCACACAGCCATACAATCTCTAGTAACAATTCTTAGCAACAGAATTGGTGGTCATATACAAAAGGTTAGTGACTTTCAGCTTGGCACCATCACAGGGCGCCATCTTTACAACACGCACGTTTGCCACATGCCCGCCCTGCTTGAGCTGCTCTGCTCAAACATAAGTGAAACACCTGGGAGGTGTCAGGTGTGCGGTCTGTGTCACGCATAATTCACTGACTTGTCATTGCGTGACGTCTAAGTGTTTAACATGACCATAAACTTCCGTTAACCAAGAGTGTGCATGAGCATATACTGTATTGCATAGGAGGCAGGCAAGGTGAATTTCTCAATTGCCAGGTCATGTGGAGTGTCGCTCCATGTAGACCACACTCATGGGTTCCATGTAGACCACACTCATGGGTTCCATATAGACCACGCTATGTTGCTTTCTGGTGAAACATGCAGTCGCACATTAATGTAAGCTCTTGATGAAAATAGGCCACACAAGGTCACAGAAAGGGACCTTATCGCCCAGTGCCATCACCCACTGGCAATGTGCCAGCATCTAATGGAAAGCCTTTCCAGCTTCATAATAATACCTGCAGTTTTGGAATGATATTGTTGCGGGAGAAACTGGTGTCCACATGCTTTTCGCCATATAGTGTAAATATGATCATACTTGGATTTTCCTCTGTATTATATAGTCATACTGAAAATAATCACATAATTTTTGAAATTGCAGCTTTCTCTACAGTGCTGTTGGCTTATACTACAGTACAATGAAGATGTACCACTGCCTTTTTCCAATCAAAAGAGAGTAATTTCAGAGGTACAGTACTGTGCAAAAGTCTTAGGCAAGCTCAAGAATTAATTTATCTTCATGTTGGTGTAAAACTGTGATGTCTGTCAAGCTGTCAAAGCTTAGCCGTTTCAGAACCTTCCTAGTCACCCAGAATAGCAGCAGCCATCCAATATACTCGTGTATTTTAATCGACCACTTGCATACAGTTTTTGGAAAATTAACACCTCACAGAATTACTTAACAAATTAAATTAATTACTTAAAGTGAGGTGGTTGTGAAATTTAACAAGCACATGGAGTGGGGAGAGGTTTGGGAACTGAAGCGGTGTTCATCTAGCCATCTAACCAGATACTAGTAACCTTTTGCAGAATAAATCCTTATTCATTTTTGTTTTATTTTTTTTGTTATTATCAATTTATGTATGTTCTAAAGTTACATTGTGTTATTTTTTTCTAAAGCAAACATATGCTTACTACCCAGAAAAATGACTTTATACATTTTCTTGGAGTGCCTAAGACTTTTGCACAGTTCAGTAGGTCTTCCTGAATTCAGAGTGAAATAGATTTAACTCCAGTACCGCAGTATGGCTCCCTGGGCTGTCCTGGTAGGTGACAGCTGCAACCAACAGAGCTCTAAAGACTAGATCATATCAGTGTGGTCGCTAAGCAGGGGAACTGTTCAGGGATGCATTTGCATTTACGGGAAATCACCCTGGGTCAAAGAGAAGCGCAGCTGCGGGACCATACAGGGGCATGGGGTGTGTTTATCCCTGAATAATGTCCAGTGGCAATTATTGCCCATCTAATTACCAACCAAAGCTCAATTCCCAAAATTCAGCCAAACATTTCTTTCCAGGGGCCATCAAACAACATCCTGCATAGATATATTAAGAAACAAGCAACAGCAGCTGTATATTCCTGAGTATATGCGAGCATATCATGTGTAAAAGGCAAAAACAGGACCTTAACACTCATATGCAACATTTTCTGGCAGGTCCTTGGGTAACTGCTAATTATAATATTCTAAAGAAAAAACAATCATTTAGACGAGAAAGTGAAGTATATACACATCGATTATAATAATTTAAAAACAAATATAAGTTAAAAAGTAGATTAAACAAGTTGTCTTCGACCAAATAATAATGACCCAGACATTTTCCGTCGGATGTTCCCACATTCTTCTAATGAATTAAACTTTTTAAAAAGTTTTTTTTTGTGGATTTTCCGACATTCCCCTAATGAATTAAACTGAGTTGATCAAAGAAACATGGTTTCATCGAATGAAATGGGGGAAAAAACATTACTCAGCCATTGCATCAACCGCCCAGTTTGACTGCAAGCGGCGCTTTGGTGCGCGATGATCCGCCCACTGGAGCGTCATTGCAGTGACCTCAGCCGCCCCACCGGGGAGCCCGGGGCAGGGATTAGCGAAGAGGGGCGTCCCTGGGGGAGGTCTTCCGAGACACTGATGTCACTGACATTGCTGGTAACAATTATATAAGAGAGGCACACCCGAGCAGCGACAGTCACCGGTGGACGGCAGCTACTGCTTACTCTCAGATTAAGCTGGAGCCTGAAAGTCACAAATACCCTCATACGTGACCATGTCTGCCTGCGCGTCAGCGGACCACCGTCGGGTATGCCCCTCGGTCCACGGAAACTGGTTCGACACAACCCGCCGCAAGAAAGCCGCCGCCAACATCTTTGAAAACGTCAACCAGGACGTCCTGATGAAGCTCTTCCAAAAGACGGGGGACATGAAAGCCGAGGAGCGCGTCAGGAGCATCTTCTCTTACGGACAAGACCCCGAGGAGATATCCAAAGCCTTAATGGCTCTCAAGCAGAGGAAGAAGGACAAGCTCCTCCAGATTGCCGGCTTCTCTAGGCAAAGCGTGAAACTTCATTGACTCATGATGAGCTCCGGTGGAGCTTTTCGCCTTGGTGAAAGTGCGCAGACCCGGCGCGGAGGTGCGGCGCCCAAGTAGACTGAGAAATCCCCTCAGGGGCGGACAAAGGAACACTGCGTTGCAGAAGTCGCGATGAAGTTATTGTTACTTTACGAAACAGCGGACTATACTTCTGCTATTGCAAAGCAACGGAAGACAGTTTTTACCCTCGCACTGGAGAACAATCATCGGGGCTGAAGCCCCAATCGATTATCTTTGGACAGACTATAATACAGTTGTTTTTTGCGGACTCGGACTGGGGAATTTAAGATGAATTTGCTAAGCCGCTATACATTTGTTTAAATGTTGAGGCTAAAACTGCACCTTATAGGTGTAATAAATTCTTTGCTGTTACATAAATAAAAACACGAATTCTGTATTATTTGACATGTACCGTCTTGCATCTACACTTGTCTACACAGTGATACTCGAAATAATAATACGCGAACAGAATATTAGCCTAACACTCATTTATTGTAACATTTTTTGTGTGAATTTGCATGACAATATGCTGTCGTAAGTTTAGTGTAGTTAATACATTATATTAATATTTTAATATAAAATTAGTGCAGAACAAAGTCGGATCGGGCACCGATATAATTATTTAAATAACTAATACGATGTTCTTTAAAGACTGTAGGGAAATCTGTCACTTTTTATTAAAGCTCAGTCACAACCACATATTTGTAGTGAAGAGTATAAAAAGATGGTGGTATATAAAGGTGATGAAAAACAAGGTGATAAAACATTTAATTAAGGGCCTTGCTGTCCTGCTTCATAGAAAACATAGGCTACTTAGCTGCAACTGGGGGATGCTGGGTGGCTTAGTGGGTTAGGCCTTGTAATCAAAAGGTCACTGGTTCAAATGCTGGAACTGGCAGACTGATGCTGCCATTGGGCCCCCGAGCAAAGCCCCTAATTCCCAGCTCCAGGGGTACTGGGAATACTGGGGTACATCTGTATATGTGTGTCGGTGTGTCTCATGGGCAGCATGATGGGATTGACGAAAGGACAATTTCTCCACTGGGATCAATAAACTATCATTATTCCAAAACACATAGCAGTGTGATTTTAATTGTTAAATTGTCTTGGATATAAGCATCTGCTAAGGAACTCAACAATCAATTGATGATTCTACACCTTTAGCTAATTCGGTAAAGATAATTCAAGTAAAGTACACCAGTTTCTAAAAAACCTACAGTATGCAAACACAGGCTGTCATAAACTGGCTTTGTACATGCAGGACCTCTTGCCAGTGGAATTTATTAACATGACATTAAACAAAGCGATGGCAGTGACACCATACAGTCATGCATCTGTGAGCACTGCGTAACAGTTTACCCAGTGCAGGTTCACAGTAAGCCTGTCCCAGGGAACACCAGGTGCGGCTCAGCCCATATGGAATGACAAGCCGGTACAGGGTGCACACAAACGAGTAAAGGTGCACCGAAATGCTGCCCAACTCGGGCTAGCCTTCCGCGCATTGACCCCAAAGTTGTCATGCAGTTCAAATACGGTAGGTGTCAAAATGCGAATAGTTTGAGCCAGTGTCAATAACAGCCGGGCCCAAGATTTTCATGGAGGGAGACACAGGTGCTCCGCTGGTCATTTGCTGCCCCCCCCCCCCTTCCCGGCACCAACACTGATTTAAACTTAGTAAACCCAGCTGTTGGTATTCAGATAGACTGATGGTCCTTTATAGAACTGAATGCCCTTTAAGAGGCTCAGAGATACGGCAGCTTGTGTTTGATTATTACGCACCTTTAGTAAAGTATGTGTGGAGCACAGTGTCCCTCTGTATTTCAAAGCCTTCCGTTGGCCATATCTGGGCAGGAAGCATGCTGAGGTCATGGTGTCATGTGACCAGTCTCACCTTTATCCCAATCCCCTGGCTCTGTGGGTGCAGAAAGGCAGCCGGCTCAGACCGGTTTTCGAGGGGTCACACACCTGGCATGTTTGTGGACGGCGTGGCAGTTCAGACCACTGGTAGTCAAGAGCAACGGGAGTATAAACTTTCCCAGTCGCCCTTATTATTATTTCTGGAAAACATTCTCAAGGTTGTAAAACACCAGAAAACAATCTCTCTGGGAAACGTGAAGTTGAATGAGATCTCTGGAAGTGTCAGTTTCAACCAGAAACACAGAGCATGCTTATGTTGATTCAGGCTGCTGTAAATATTTTGAAAGGAGAAAAGGTAGAAGAAATCGTACCTTTCATGAGGTGTGAATAAGCTTTGTGATGCTCACGTTGTGTTCCACAGAACCCAGCTGAAACCAGATTAATTGGCCAGTACGTTGTCTTGCAAAAGACAAAAATGATAGAGAGTCTGTCAGGTCAGTGGTACCTGCATTATCAGTTTGAGGTGGGTGAGCCCTTTCTATCCCATATCACTGACAGTTTCCAGCAGCTCCATCTGGCCCTGTGAGGAATGTTGCTGGTGTGCCTCCGCCCCTAAGACCTTAAGGACTACACTGGATTTCACCTCCTCAGGCAGGGCAACGGAAGGGCTCTCACACTCAAGTAAGTACCCAGATAAGCACTCAAACTGCTATTCAACCACATGTAGTTGCACTTACACACTGTTGTGATCACAAATGTATACATTTCAACACCCAAGCACACCAGAAACATTAAGGCTGAACAGTTCACTACAGACATTTTGGTCCCACATTACTCTTTGCAAGACCCTCAGGCACAAACAAGTTTGTGGGGTCTGAGCATACGTAGGCCATCCACCATCCAGTGCAGTTGAGGTTAAGCACATGAAGCTTATATGCTTACTTGGCCAGCTATGGGGTTTGAACTTATGACCTTCAGTCACAGATTCCGATCCTGCTGAGCTGTACACCACACCATTGGAGCTAATTCCTCAAACTCACATTTTCCAGTAACTCCTTTGTTCAGCAGGGGAACGTTAAACGAATACTTTGTCTACCGTTGGTGCCAAGGCTTTCCACCCCTCCTGTCTCTCATTTTTTCTCTAGGGATGGGAAATTGTCTTCATTACTCTGCTCATCAACACATACAGTGCACAGAGAAAGTTTTGGCACACTTGTTTTTAAGTCAGTAAATATATCACAGATTTATTGGTTTTATAATAAAATCATTACTCAAAAAACATTAGAAACAACTAGTAGAATTAAGTAGTAAACTCAAATTATAGTTCATAAAGAGCTGTTATCTGAGCTAAAAAGATCAGTAACAATCAAGATTAGTACCACCTTTGTAATTACATAAAACACTAAATATTTATGTTTAGTATCACTTTGGGAGCCAATGGCTACAATTGCAATTGATCACAAAATCGTAAGAACAGAACTAAATGAGCCAAAAGATTTCGACTCTTAATAAAAAGAATATCTGCATAAGATATGTGCAGATGTATTAAACACTGCTTGTCAACTAACTTTTATTATGAAACCAATAAATCGGCAACATTTTTACTGAATTAAGCAAGTGTCCCAAGACTTTCTGTGAGCACTCAATCTGAAGTTGTGACCATAGCGATAGCAAGAACGAGGAGCTGACACTGAGAAGAAAGGAAAAGTAGCCTTTGAGAAATGCCTGCCCCTGGGGACCAGCTCAGGCTGGTTCTCAATGAGCTGCCCGAAAGGGGAAATTAAAGTTTAACTTTCAGCTGAGTCAGAGCAAGCCCTCAAGAGACTGATTAGTCAGCCCACACACTGCAGAGTGCAAGACCGTTTGGTCACTGCTGCCGTTCTCCATTGTTCCTTAATATCATCAACCATTCCTCTACAAGTAACACTCAGTTATTTGAACGTTATTGAGTGTAATTTCTGAATTACAGTGTATCTAAGCCTCTGTACCATGACAAAGCAACTAAAAGGGCTGCTTTGTTTACTTTATTGCTGTAGTGCTTTTATAAAGGATAAAGCTCGTTGTTTTAGACCCTTTTCCATTAATGCAGTAGAGCATCATTCCTGAAGTATCCGAGATTAGGATCCTTTTTGGAGGGACTTCACAGCCTCAGGCACGTGTCTTTAAGTACAGTAAATGTGCTGCCTCATAAAGGTCAAGAATTAAAATTCCCTATTAAAACTCCACCGCGGTGAAGTTGTGCATGTCTTTTCACAGTCACATCATTACCAGCATCCACTACTAAACCTTGAAACAAATACCTTACATTTATATGCATCATACTGTCAATCCTATGAAAAAGCAAGCTGCTAGTTTGTTCAGTCTTGCCTAGATATTTGCATTATTACAAGGGACATTTTTATATAATTACAGAAACATTTATGTCTGACTTGTAAAAGATCAAGTTCTATCTGTGATCAAATAAGCTGTCATTCAACAAGGGAGGAAAGAGCTTCTGAAACATGAAAGCATGTCTGTTAGGGACAAAACGAAGGACACTGATGAATGATGCATCATCTATCAAGGCGATAACAGCAAGTCTTTCATTACCATCCACAAATATGGGAAACAGTGGTTCTTTGTTATAAAGAATGACTCTTACTATGGACTAGCATTTAATACTGCAGAATAATTAGTTCCATCCGGATTCAGGATATAACCTTGAGCAATGCGCTTCAGGAGCCGCAGTGCGGGTTCTATTCCGCGTTCCTCCACGGCAGCGCCTGAGCCATTGACAGCAGACTGATGACAAGAGGCTGAACACTTTCCAAGCCCAAGGTTAGCCAGGGCAGGCTGTGGGCTCTGGAGCGACAGCGAGGAACATTCTAGGGGGCAAAAAGGTCATTAGTCACTCATCTCCCACAAAAACTCGTGCCAGTGAGCATTCCCAAGACACCCACAAACACAGTGGGTCTGCAGAAAACATTTAGACAGTTGTCCTTTACAGGGGAAGCTTCGAATCTCGTGGGAGAAAAATTGTCAACATTCCCGTGATGCTGGTCTGTGTTGTAAGTCAGGGCCGCTGGAATCCACTAGAATGAAATTGGAGGGTCCCTGTTGTTGTTGTTGGACAAATGCACAAAATGTACTTTCAAGCTGAGTATGAATGGCCCAGTCTCAATATGGACGAAAACAATACGTCAGAGGATCAGGGCTTGTACATGTGTTTGGCCAGATCAGTAGGAAGACGCCCGTCAAAGCCAACACAGAGTGTACAGTATATTCTGAACAAGACGATGGCCTTCCTAAGGTTAAATGCTGGCCCAAATTGTCAGTCCTTTTAGTCTGTCCATAGCGCCTTTACCCACAGCCCTGGAAACTCCAATTTCCTGTTTTCCATTGTGAAAGCGATCGTCGGAAATTAAAAAGATTGTCAAACTCCTGATGGCCTATTGGCCCCCATCTCGTGTTTCTGCTCCCTAGGCGTGGCGGAGACACAGGCTGTTTCCTGTGGGAACCCAGGCTCTCCCAGGTATGCGGGAGGGACACACCCCCGCGGCACACAGACAGGCTGCGGCGTGTTGGCTCCTAGACGTATCCTTCCCATCCCGCCTTCTCCACTCACCCTGTCCATATCCTGCATGCCATCTCCTCCTGAGACCCTTCAGTTTTATGTTCATTGTGATTTTCTACGTCTTTGGAGGAAATAAGACATCTTTTTTCAAATTTATTTTTATTTTTAATTTCACAGCATGCCCTCTTTAGTGTACAACAGGAATACATATGTTTCCTTACATCAGTGAAAAGATACATGCAAAAACAAAATGTCCACTACAATAGACATAAATGAATGGGTGGGGTCTCAGGAGGATATTACATCTGTAAGTCACTGTATGTAAAAGTAATTGATGGGGGGGTGATTGGCTGGCCCACAGTAACAATGCTTCATTTGCATGTATTTAACAAGGATGTTGATCAGGTGGTAGAGAGACAGCAACAACATGCAAGTCATTTTCCTACTGAAATGGGTTTTGAGAACGCCAAGCCCAGCAGGAACTGTTAGACCCTCTCCATCTCCAGTGTTGGGGCTTAGAATTCTGCCTGCGCTCTTTGTGCTTTGGCACCAACATGTTCTTCCCATTTTGCACCGTTTACCTCCTGCAGGCCAATGACAGTGGGTGTACTGGCATCTCCAAAGTACACATAGTGCATGCACCCTGTTACACTGTCATCAAA